TTTAATTACTTCCAAGCTCCCCGCAAAATTAAATTTCAGTATTTAATGACTCATGGGGTGTTGATATGCCGTTAAACAAACAAATAAATCAATTCTTATAAATGCAAATCTGTCTCTTGAAACATTCATATCAGCTCAGTTACGTAAACAAAGCAATTTCTAATTAATGGATTAATCTGATAGATTTTATCACTCCAAAGGTTATTTTAGTGGATACTCAGATTTAAGTACCGACCTGAATATACTGTTTAATAAATAAATGGAGTGTCTACTCAAATATCTATGTTTCGAGAGTCTGATAGTCTATTTGTGTTTATAAGGCTCTATTCAACTTTGCTTGATCGTCGACGCATTTCATGGCTGAGATGGTCTAAAGCAGGTCAGATCTAAAGAGAGTTTTCTCCTGTCAAGTGGGATGAAGGCTCATAATCCTACCAGCATTCGCATATCTTTCTTTAATAAGATTTCTCGAATATTCAGGCCAGTAAACGAAAATAAATACATAAATGTAGTTTAATAAATAAATGGCTTATCTACTCAAATATTGGTATCCACTAAAAATAACATTTAATTAATAATTTTTTTTTTTTTTCGTTTTAGTAATAAATTTCAATTTTAGTAGTGGTTTCTCATTTAACCCTCTCGGTTATAAAGGCTGTTCCAATAACTTGAACCAATTTTAAATGCGAATTATTTTTAAGCATCTAATGAATTTTTCTTCTTCTTTCAGATTTAACAACTTAAGTCTTTGGCAATTTCAACCATGGAAAGATTAACAATCAATGTATTAAAGTTATTGAAGCCTATTACGAAAATGGACGTTCAAACAGAAATGCAATGAAATGTTCCCAGGTTGCATCATCTCTCGAAACAGCAGTGAATTGGCCACCAAGATCGTGAGACTTGACGCCTTTAGATTTTTTCCTTTGGGGTCATCTCAAAAGTAAGGTCTACGCCAACAAGCCAACAGCTGAAAGATGAGGTAATAAGGCATATTGGTGATATAAAGGAGCAACTATGTAGAGACGTCTTCAAAAATTTTGACCATCCAGTGGAGGTGTGCCGCCGAAGACTTGGCGGACATTTTGGCAATATTGTTTTTCACACATAATTGCCACGATTTAAATAACATGATCCAATAGAGAAATAAATAATTTTTCACCAATAACACTGATTTATTTACTGTTGAATTTGATCCATCTTAATGAAACAGCTTTTACTTGGACTTTGCTGTGAGATTTTGTTTCATTTTGCTTATTTAATAATGTACTAATGTATTCTTCTTCTAAAGAAGTGTTGGTGGGAAAAGGATCTTTTAAAGAATGCATTTTTCGATATTTAAGTTGCAAAACTTTTTTTATATATATTTAACCATTCACTAGCACTAAAATTAAGTTAAACAGCCTCTCAAGTTGTTTTTAAGATAGAGGATGTAAGATTCCTGACTTCCATGGTCATTTTGACAGTTTTATTGGTTGCTGGGAATGGGATGTATTTTTTAAGTGTATGTTATCTTTTAGCTTTCTGGAAGTGTGTGTGATGTGTATATATTTGTGTGAGTGTGTGTATAAGTGTGAGACCTCAACACCCCTGCAAGTATGTCTGTCATATATATAAGTTCACCCTGATGATCCCATGTGGTAAAATCTAGGCAGGTAGTAGAGCAAAATAATGAGCCAGGTACTAAGTGCACTCTTCGCTTTTAACTTATTACTCGCTGTTTTTGTTTTTGTCTTCTTCATCATTTAAGGTACTGGGTGATTTTTTTTGGGTGGGGGGTCCTGTTTGTAGGTTTCTGGTGCTTTTTTTTTTTTTTTTTTTTTACATTTTCCTCGGATGCTAATTTATTTGAAAATTGCACTATGAATTTTATCACCCACTGATATATATATATATATATATATATATATAACACACAAAAAAAAAAGCTTTATTTAGTCAATGAAGATTTACAAACCGCAATAAAAACCAGGCCTTAAGATGGATTCTGTCTATGGTAAATTCCATCATTCATTTATACAAAAGAGAAAACCTTCAGTTAAAGAATATTAATGATGTTGTTAATATTTGATAATGTTAACACCTGAAAAAATGACAAGTGTGGGACTCCCAGTGAAAATTGAACTTACTACTCATGTTCACCTGACCTTTGCTCTACACTAAAATGTTGATTGATTTGTCAAACTGAGTTTAGTCTAGCTAGAAAGCTAGAAATATTAAACATCCAGAGTCCAATACTTAGGGATGTTTTAGAATCTCTGGAAGATAAATAATTTAAATGAAAAAGAAAACAAATTTATCAGAAAATTTTATTTCCGTAAATAATAATAAAAGTTCTTGATTCTAGATGACAGCAATTCTCATCTCTTCTTCCTGGAAAACAAAGAAAAAAATCGAATGAGACCAGTCTGGAGAATGTTTCCAGGAAAATAAATAAAATTAATAAACTAGTTATAAAAATCAGTCATAGGATGGGGATTCTCATTAATGGTAACAGTAATATTAGCTGTTTCCCTATAAGGAAACATTTTTACCAAGTAGTGAGTACTGCTTTTGGTTAAAATTTATAAAATCTTTCTCTTAAAACAATTTTTTAGAAAAACATGTTTGTCAAGTTCTGTAGCTGTTATCGCACTTTACAGTATTAATGGGGGGGGGGTCCTTCCTAACATTTTATTTGAAGTAGCATGGAATGTCAAAATCTCGATTAAGTCATTAATTTCTCTTCAAGTTAAAAAATGATATTTTAGAAGTGAATATGAAAATAGGATCTGCTGAGAATTTCATAACTCTAAATTCTAATCAATGACTGCATTATAAATTTACACACAATATAGAAATGTATAATACAGAAAACAACAATGAGAAAATTATGGTTTTACAATGTGTGTGCATACATAGATATAGGGAGAGTAAAGAGAGTCTTTCTAAATGAATATTTATTTTAATCATTTTGCCCTAAGCAAGGCAGTAATGCCACTAGAACAGAGGGGAGGGTGATTACAGAAAGTGAAAGTGAGATAAAAGACTGATTATAGGAAGGATTGAGAAATGGGCAAAAAGGATCGAGAAACGGGCAAAAAGGATCGAGAAACGGGCAAAAAGGATCGAGAAACGGGCAAAAAGGATCGAGAAATGGGCAAAAAGGATTGAGAAACGGGCAAAAAGATGATTGAGATTCAAGAAGATGGCATTTGATGTTACATATAAATTTTTGAAGATTGTAGTTATTAGGGAAGCAATTAAATGGGAGGGAGCTCTACAGACAGGAAATGCGAGAAATTAAACTTTTGGAGTGGAAGTGGTAATTGCATTTAACTATTTCAACAGTGAATAGGTGGGACCTAGATGCCAATCTAATGGCACACTTGAATTTTATGGGAAAAAAGCTTGTCAGAGCAGTAGCCATAAAAATATTTGTAGAAATACTGTGGGAAGCTATGTTACATCAGAGAAAAAGTGATTGTAGTTAAGATGCCAGGTCAGATCATTCTTTGGATTTTGTCAAGAATCACAAAATGAATAGCAAGAGCACCAAACCAAATATGGCAGCAGTATTCAAGTCAGTTGAAAACGGAAGGCCAAGAAGGTGCAGTCTTCACTAAAAAATATGGTATTATGTTCCAAGAGAATATATTTATGAATTTGTATTTAACAAATAACTTTAATATAAATAATAATTATTTTAACAAACAACTTTATGAATTTAAGTGCAGTACTAGATTGGCAGCAAGGTCTCAGCATTTTACAGTTGAAAAGGCCGCTAGATGTAACCTCCAGTTCTATGGTAAAAGTTTCTTTTCTGGCAATTCTCACTTGTTGAACTCTCTTCCATTTTTTGCTTCCCAGTCAATTTAAAAAATTTAAATGCAATGTCAATCATTATCTTCCGTCTTCTTAACTCTTCTTCTTTTATTGTTCTCTCTCCATAATAGTCTTTTTTCTTATATTCTCTAACACTCAGTAACCCTCCTGCATCTTAGTGGCTTTATTGCCTTGCTTGTGGTGAAATGATTAAAAAAAAATTATATGTACACGTATAAAAGTTCTTTCATATACAAGACGGCATCACTGTATTCACAACATGATGACTGAGAGTTTTGATCTGAAATATCTGCAATAATTTTCAGTTTATATGATTAAAACGCTAAGTGCATTGTCAATGGAGATTATGTTGAAAATAAATATGTATATGCAAAATATGCTATATATATATATATATATAAGAACAAATGAAGGTAAACCGCCAGAAAAACCCACACAAGTGATTTGATTAAAGTGGTGAAGGCTTGTGCAGAACCATTCACACCATACTTAAGATTATCGCACAAAATTTCATAACTGAATCAATAAGCTGTTAGATCCTCATACGTCAAAACTGACGGCAGAGTCCATTATTTTATATATATATATATATATATATATTTCTCTTGGGAAAGTTTAATTCAGGAAAATACTAAAAAAAGACATAGCCATCATAAACAAAGCAATTATTGAACAGTAGTTTGTAGAATCAAATTTGACTTTGAAATTGGGAAGACAAAATGATTGCAAGAAAGAAAATACATCCAAATAAGGTCAAAGAACACCACCAAATTTCAGGTAGAAATTCACAACATATTCCTGGTCCTGTTGAATAATGAAGATTTGAATAACAAAATGGTAACTCTAAGTAAAGATGTAGTGGTCGCAGCGGTGGGGGAGACAAAACGAAAAGAATAAAAAAAAGGGAGAGAACTCAAATTCAACACTGATGAAAACGTGGAGAAGTATGGTCAAATATTTAGAGATAAAATTAACAAAAAGGTGAGAGGTGAAAAAGAAAAAAATGAATTTGGAATGATTATAAGCTTTGACAAAAGGAAAGATCTTGAAACCTGCTTGATTTTTTTTTTTTATTGTTGTTGTTCACTCAATACAAGAACCAAGAGCCACTCAAAGATGGTTAAAAAAAATGGGAATATTGTAAGTGCATAAAAGGAGGGAGCAAGAGGTACTTATGAGGATATGTAGGATACAATTGACTCTTGACAAGATTTTAGTGAAGCCGATACATCCAGGAAAAAGAAAGTACAACAAAAATTGACTCTCAGTAAAAAAAAAAAAAAAAAAGATAATAAAAGCCAGTTCAACTATTGCCTATCATATCACAGTTGGACATGTATAAATTATTCACAAAAGGAATTAAAAACAGGTTAACAAATATCCAAGATGAAAATCAGTCATGAAAAATAGGCAAATTTTATGAGTTACTATTTGACACTAATCAACAACAAAATAAACACTTTCATTGGTTCTCGTTTTTTAAATTTGAAAAATCATTTGATTTAGTACAACACTTGTCAGTCAAAGTCACTAAGAGAGAAGGATAGTATTATAAACGTATTGAGAAAATATATATATATATATATATATATATATATATATATATACACAACAACATTACTGCAGTAATCTGACTGCACAAAGACATTTAAAATAAACATTGGAAAAAGGCATAAGACAAAGGCATTTAATTTCAACTGAAGAGTATGTTTGAAAAGTAGTTTCCAAAAAAATGAACTTGGAGGGAAGATGAATAACCACAGATGGAGAATATATCTGCAATTTGTTAATAACATTTGAATAATATCAGAATTAGCAGGTGAATTATAAAAAACAGTAAATGACCTGAATAGCAAAAGTCTCAATATAGGTTTAAAATTTAACAGAAATAAAACAAAAGCCATGTTCAATTGCAATGCTCTGGAAAATAGAGGATGAAGAACTGAAAAAAGCTCAGGAATATGCCTACTTGGGACAGATGACAACATTAAAGACCATAAAAGTTAAATAAGATCACATACAACTTGGCATATAGATTGGAAAGTATTTGATAAAAATAAAGAATACTTTGGTAATATGCTTAAAATGTAAAGTGCATATATGATTGATTGTTAGTTGATTTATTTTCTACAGTTTATCAACCTTTTGCAGGTCAGTTAAAGCCAGATTTTATTTTATTTTAGAGGAGGATAATAATGGTTTAGTGATAAAAGTATTACTAATTAACCCATAGATGGGGGAAGAAGTAGTGGATTCATACCTTTTCCAAGGGTATTTGTATCTAAGAGAATATAATGAACCCAATGGAAATTGGAACTCATCTCTTCGATTAACAATTCTAACCTATTATCCATTACACCACTTGAACATCCAAGCTTACAGCACCTGGTATTGCCAAGCGATCACCCATCTAGGTACTGACCAGGTTTGATGTTGCTTAACTTTAGTAATCATACAGGAACCAGTATTTCAACATGATGTAGCCATAAGCCTCTAAAGGACATGTGAGAGCACCAAATATAGAAATTTACAAAAATCACTTTAAAATTTTAAAAAATGACCCAAGATCAATGCTTGGGAAAACTCTAAGAGACAGAACAAGGTCAATATGAGAGATGTTCTAGAAACAGAAATGGAGGTTGGAAGGACACATAACAAGAAGAAAGGATCAGAGATGGAGCAAAAGGCTGGTTCAATGTTGCAAGCAAATGCAGTAAGCAAAGGCTAAACAGAATACAAATGATTTAGTGGGATTTTCTAGGAAGACAGGTCAGAGAATAGCACAGTTTCACTAGTCAGGGAAGGAATTGGGAAAGGTGTTTTTTCCTGTAGTGGTTGATGATGATGATGCATTAACACTTACCATGTGTTCTTTTTCCTGGCCCCTGGCTGACCAGGCTTTTTACGTTCCCTTCGCCGAATATCTCTTGTTAATAAACCGGCTAGAGAGAAAAAAAAAAAAAATTTAAACAATTTTGATATGAATAAAAAGTCAATATCAAACATTAGTGATGATTTCCAAGATGCTGATTTTAAATTAACCAAGAATTAAAATAAAAAAACTGCAATTTTTAACACAAAACTTATTGCAAGAAAAATACTAAATAAAAGGAACAATCACTTTAGTTCTGAACACTGCCACAGACGTTTAATCTCAGTATCATCAATCCACTATCAAAATATGAAACCAATATTTCTATACAAGTATTCCAAAATTCATTAAAAATGAAGGATACTTCACAAAAAAAAAAAAAAAAAAAAAATGCCCAAAACATAATAAAAATAAAATTTTGTCATAAAAATCTTTTGATCTTTCTTAATAATGATACAAAGATTGTTTGATGTAGAAATTATTTTCTTAATTCCTTATAAAACTCTGGAAATTTTGACACATCTTGTTTTTTTGTGTCAATTTTGAGCAAATATTTTTTTTTCAGATAATTGTCAGATTTTAATTAAATTTTCAATTCTTATGCAGGAATAAAGGAAATTACTTTTGTTTCTAGAAAATATTTGTAAAAGATTTTTTTTCATGTGCTAACCTCTAATTTTTATGAAATTTTAAGAAAATCTTTTTTTGTATCACAAAATGTTTTCATTTGTTATGAGGGAAAGTCCTCAGAGAATTTTAATCACAAAAAGTTTATGGGTCAGTCAAGAATCCCTGTTATATAAGATCAGCCCTGAATTGTAAAATACAAAATGCATTAAAACTAAGACATTTTTTTAATTATAAGAGCCATTAATTGCTTTTAGAAGTTAAATATTACAGACACAATTGTCTTGAAAAAGAAAATTATTTTTCAATGAATAATTAATTTTTAAAAATTTTAGTTAGGATAATTTACAAACTTTTAAATCTTTTAACATTTTGTATTAATTAATAGTGTCCAAGTAATATTGTTTTTAAATTAAAACTGTAATTATAAATGGAAACGATCACTACAATTCAACGGCTGCCAGTATTTTTAAAAGAATTTTGAATTTTTATGCATAAACTGTTATAAACTATTTCCCTTGCTTTTATACTGACTGAGTTGCCAGGATGTGCATTGTGGTGTAATGGTCATCAGCTCAAAATGAGAAATTGAAGTGCAAATTTTGAATTCCATTTGGGTTTGTTACATTCACTTACACACAAAAAAACTTCATGAATCCATCTCTTCTCCCCCCAGCTATGGGTTGAATAGAAGGACAGACTGAGCCCTATAGCTTTGGTTGGCAACCAGTCTACTGCAGAAAGAAATGGAAAACTACTGCAGAAAATTCTTCTTAGTCATGAATTGAAAGAGACATGATCACCCAATCATGTATCACATATGGCACTTAACACACTGACTGAATTTCTTAGATGAGGCCTTGTCTATTATTGTTCATTTTTAATTCATATTATCTGGTAAAACACTGGCCTACCAGACACTTCCCCTTTGCCTGTAAGATGTGAGGGGTCTTTTTCAAACACATGGTCATCTTCTATGAAGTCAGATATATTTGTTGCATTTTAATTAAGAGTTGGGAACATTTTGTCAATTTTGCTGTTATTTCATGCTTAGCTCATTTCTTTGAAACAACACGGAAGAAGCAAACTCTCAACCAATGTGCCCATCAAAGCACACCTACAATATGAAAATAAAAAGAAAAATTTTATTTTTTTTTTTACCAAGTCTCATTTTTTCCACTGTTGCTTGGTCCATAAATGTAGCAAGTGCCTGAGACAAAGCAAGACGAATGGCTCCAGCCTGGCCACTTATTCCACCTCTACGAACTTCTGCCTTGAAGTCAACTTCTTTCGTCTTTTGCAGAAATTGGAGAGGAAACAGTAACTGATTCCTGAAAATGAAAAAGAAAAGTTTTTTTCTATCATTTTTTGGGGAGTCTCTTTTTAAAAGGCATATTTTTAAAGCTTATCTTGCATTTAATGTTTGGAAATCAACAAAGTAGAGACTGATGGCTAAATACAGAAAATTAAATTGGTAAACTGAATTTAAATTCCTACTGAAGCACTAATGCCCAAATCAACCAATAAGATGCTGCTAACATGTGATCAAGTACAAGTTGTTACTATTTGGAGAGGAAATGACTACTAGTAGGTAACCTCTACTACCTCAAGGGTGTGGCATGTTACCGTGACGATCTACAAGGTCAATTTTGATTTTAGAGTTGAGGATACCACTAGGAAATTTCTTTTGTCTCAAGGCCATCACCTGTTACCCTGACCATCTACAACTTCATTTGCTTTAGAGTCGAGGACTGAAATAATTGTTTGTAAGATATTTTGTTTTTGATCATATTGTACTAATGCTCTTGGGAAAAGTAATAATCTACTTGAATTAGAGAGAAAGATTAAACTGATACAGCCATCAAATCTGCTTTAAATATAGTTACTGAGGAAAAAAAATAAAGAGAAACCTTAAGAATCATATATAAAGACTTAAAAGTGAAAATAAATAAGTACATATAACAGAATTGCAACAATGCAGGAGCAATAAAACTTGTAAAACACTTTTTACAATCCAAGGAGAATGGAAACAAAGATTCTATTCCATGTTTCAGTTGCACACAAATGTCCAAATATCTATGACTGATCTTCCAGTCCACTCAGTGACATCAGCCCACTTTTCCTCTATCTATGTCTTCTTTTACCTAAAGTGGTACTTCATAGAATGGAAATATTATTGGCTTTTATGTCTTGTCCATACTATTTCAACCTTCTCTTCTTGATACTGTTTATGAGATCTTCTCATGAGTAAAATAGCGTGCATTTTTTCATCTGATGTTCTTTTATTTCCTGAAAAGATAAATACTGTGCAAACAGCAAAAAGATATGTGCTAATTAGAGAGATGGTGCCATAGCTGTGAGTACTATTCAGAAGTGGAAACTTTTATCTATAAAACAAAGAATGTTTCAGCAGACCTACAATCAATGGTGATGACCAAATTGGAACACTAATTAAGAATTAATTAAGAGACACGGTGGAGTAATGGATAGCAGCTTGGATTGAGGAATTCAAATTCCAGTCGAATCCATTACATTTACTTATGTGCTAATACCCTTGGTAAAGGGTATGAATCCTCCACTTCTCCCCTCAGCCATGGGTAAATAGCAGGACAGACCAGGAGAAATCGGAGAGTCGAGTTCAAATTCCAGTCAAATCCAATACATTCACTTATGTGCTAATATCCTTGAGACAGGTATGAATCCTCTTCTTCTCCCCCCAGCTATGGGTAAATAGCAGGAGAGATCGGGAGAAATTGGAGAGCCATGTTCGAATTCCATTCAAATCCATTACATTCACTTACATGCTAATACCATTGGGAAAGGTATGAATCCTCTACTTCTCCCATCAGCTATGGGTAAATAGCAGGACAGACCAAGTTCTATAGCCTTGGATGGCAGCTGGTCTACTGCAAAAAGAAATGGCAACCTACTGCGGGAAAAATCTGCCTCGTCAGTCGTGTATCAAAAGATACATGATTGCATAAGCGTGTATCATATATGCCACATAACTGACTGAATTAAGAATAATTCAGGTCACATGATACAAGACATCATATGGATTCTTTACATACCTGACAAGAGTGTTGTAAGGCATTTGAAAAGACCTGAATATGTGAAGCATTATGTTTAGATGCTTTATGATTTAATGAAAAAAAATTTAATGGACTGCATTTCCATCTACGACCCTTTGTTCAATTACAACAACTTCTTGCAAAGAACAATCACAGGTAATAAAAAAAATGGATTGTCTACAATGTGAAATGGAAAAGTCCTGCGGAAAATCAAATGAGCTAACATTAAATATTCCAAAAGCATTCAAAGAAAAAAAAATAATGTGTATTTAGTGGGATAGTTACATTACAAGCTCTTTCTGTTAAATTAGAAGTATTGCTCCCAGCTGGACTGATTGAAGGCATCAATTGATGAAAAGGGTCTGTAAACACAAGACTCCACTTTGATTTTTACATAATTCTTTTAATGGAAAGAACTTCAAATTTCTGGAAGCCTGCAAAATACACTTAGACCAGTTCCTCACCAAGAAAGATTCCAAGTTCTGGGAGGATGGAATAATGAAGTTGCCTCAAAATTGGCAAAAGGTAGTGAAACAAAATGGTATACATTAGCTTAACACGTCAACAAACTTTTGTTCCAATTCATTAATTCTGCAGCAAACACAAAGTCGATTCAGGAGATGAAAATTAAAAAAGGATTCATACCTTTCTTTTACTGACTGGAAATACGACAGATCTTGACCATTAATTTCAACCTTTCCTGAGCCTTTAATCCAAAGGATCAAATCAACTTCAGCTTTTTTCCGTTTACCTGAAAAGAATTTTAGAAGTGATAGACAACCGTGACAGCACCAGGAAATGGAATTTGAATAAGAAAATCAATGGTGGTAAAGGCAATGAAAATTCAAAAATTCGGAAAACTTAATACTAAGTTCTCAATAAATAAAAATTGTCTACCACTGATAGACTGAATTAATATGAAGACCTAATAAAAGAAAAACATATTCTATATAAATACTGTATTTTTCAGTGTATAGCTTGCACTTAGAATTTTTCTAAATCATCAGAGGATTACTTTGTCAAACAGACTTAACCCAACCACTGGAGTAGAGGACACAGGGTAATTTTTAAGGTTATTTTAGGAGGAAGGACATTACTGTCTTCATCTTTGTTGCTATTATCACGTTTCAGTTATTGTGTCCTCCAGACTTCTTCAGGTGCTTCATGATCAAGATAAAGTTCAGGGAATTTTGAATTAAATACTTTATTTAATCTACAACAGCTGACAGATCACATTATGCTGCCCATGCATAAGGATATGTCATTCTGTTATTGATCACATTGTTTTCAATGAGTCCAAATTTGTACTACCTGGCCCTGGGATTGAACCCACAATTACTATGCAACCTAATTCACGAACCAATACTTTAATCCACTCAGCTTTTGCCTTATGGGACAGTCTTGAACTGAGATCCTGAATCCTAATGTTCTTATTACATGCTCACTGCTGTTTTTCTGTTACATGTGGCAACACTGAATGATGGATTTGTTTTTTATGGTTTATCAACCGTTTGTGAGTTAAAGTCAAATTATATTTTGGATTGTAAGACGTTGCTTATAATACCAGGTGTTCCAAAGCAGTCCACTGTTTTCAGCATGTTTTCATCATAGGCTGACAAACAGTGGAGAGAGCCAAGTTTGATAAGCAAAGACTTCAACAGCAGTAAGAAAAGTGGCAGGCAAAGGAGATCAAGTGTCACAGCAAAGCAGGCAATAACATTAGATTTCAAGATTGTCACCTAGAACAGGGATCAGCAACCTATGGCAAGCAATTTCCAATGGCACGCAGCCACAAATGACATCACAAAGTCCAAGCCAATAAATACTACAATGCAATGAAGATATTTAACTGTTTCAATTTTATTATATAATAAAGTATATATATCATATATTACTATATAGAATATATTGTAGAACAGGTATATTGACATTGACTTGTATAAAAATATGTATGCTGTTGGCACAATGAATGATTTTAAAACCCTAAGTCGGCACATACTTAGTTTTAGTGCAAATAATTTTAGTGCAAATTTCTACTTGTTGAAACCAAAACTTAAAAACTGCCACGTTCTTCAAAACATACTGGCGACGGGCCTGTCTTAGTTTGGTACAGGGCTTTAAGATTGGAGTTCTCTGACAATGGAACTCATTTCACTAGCAAACAGTTTACTAGGCATCTACTAGGATATCTACTACCCTTAACTTAATCTGGCACTGGGTATCAAGAGCACACTATGATATTTACTACACTTAACTTAGTTTGGCATAGAGCCTCAAGAGTGTCCTAGGACAGGGGGTCGGCAACCTCCAGCACGCGTGCCACGCCAAGCAATTCCCAAAGGCACACAGCCGCAAATGACATCACAAAGTTCAAACCAATAACTACTACAAGGCAAAGGAGATATTTTGCTTTTTCAATTTTAATATATACTAAAGTATATATACCATATATTACTATATATATATATATATATATATATATATAGAACAGGTATGTTGACCTTGAATTATATAAAAATACATATGCTTTAAAACCCTAAGTTGGCACATAGTCAGCAAAAGGTTGGCAACCCCTGACCTAGAATAATAGCTTGAAAAATTCATTTATGAATGATGACAGAGTAAATGTGAGTTCAATCACTGGACTAGGTAGTACTGACTCAAAGAAAGTGAGAAAATAATTAATCAGTAATAGAAAAAAAGGACAAGGTAGCCCTGGAGATGGACAGCAGAATGATAAAACTCTAATGGGATTTGAAATCAGTTTTTTGGGAAAATAAGATTTTGTAGATATTTGTTAAATGTGGATAAATTCCTTTAGCCAATTTGAAATTGTTTTGATTTGATAAGAACAGCCGATCATCACAAGCAATATTTGGCTCATTATGGAAATGTAAATAAATTGGGGTTTGTTTTGACAATGGATGAAAGAATTGTAGAGGCCAAGAAATTATTGTTGGAAGAAAGAAAGAATTCTAAAGACCGGAAAAAAATTCTTTGCAGAGCTATAATAAAATTCAAAAACAAAAGCGAATAAAGAATTGTTATTCATCCTTGAAGCTTGAATGTAAATGGTCAGGAGAAGTCATGTACTAAACGGTCAGGAGAAGTCATGTACTAAACGGTCAGGAGAAGTCATGTACTAAACGGTCAGGAGAAGTCATGTAGTAAACATGCAGGAGAAGTCATGTAGTAAACATGCAGGATTGTGCGGAGGTTTGTGTGAGTCATTTGGCAAATCACAAAACAGAATAAAATTCTTTTATGACAAGGGAACAAAATTAAATTGTAAACAATATTTGTTAGATAAAAAAAAGGGTAACAAAGGAATGATAAAACAAAAGTTATATTGTTTTAAATAGTTGATTGAACTTGTTGAGGAAAATAAATATTAATGAATTGTAAGGTATTTGTTAGAGTTAAAAAAGATGCATATAAACCATATATTAATGAATTATATTTTTTAAAGAGTTGATTGAACTTGCATATAAACCATATATTAATGAATTGGCAGGCGTGGTCAGAGTTATGCAAGATGCATATAAACCATATATTAATGAATTGGCAGGCGTGGTCAGAGTTATGCAAGATGCATATAAACCATATATTAATGAATTGGCAGTATGGTCAGAGTTATGCAAGATGCATATAAACCATATATTAATGAATTGGCAGGCGTGGTCAGAGTTATGCAAGATGCATATAAACCATATATTAATGAATTGGCAGGCGTGGTCAGAGTTATGCAAGATGCATATAAACCATATATTAATGAATTGGCAGGCGTGGTCAGAGTTATGCAAGATGCATATAAACCATATATTAATGAATTGGCAGGCGTGGTCAGAGTTATGCAAGATGCATATAAACCATATATTACTTGAAGCAGGAAAAAGGAACTGGAGTTATGACCAGACAAAGAGAGCTGCTGAACCCACGTAACCTGGCCACCTGGGGTTCCCAACCGACAATTTCACATTGTAATGCCTAGCCTGCTCCATGAGTAGTACAGAAGATTCCTTGTCACTAGATTCCACGTGAAGGGTTAATTTTGTGTATCAACAGGTATGTAAAACGATTGAAAATTAACCCAGTGACTTTCTTCATGATTTATCATAATTTGCATTCTCACAAGTGGAGGTATCTTTGTCCTTTGGTTTCATAGCATGTTTCCACCAACTCAATTCAGCGCTTAAGTGCGAACAAAAGTTTGATCTTCACTACACTGTGATCAATCCATCACAATATGGGACAGAGTAGATGAAGAAACAAAGCAGTCAACAGATAACTATTAGCTGACTGGTGCCAGTACTGACCAGCGAGGGGAAAGACCCCAGATTGAGTCAGGCCAACCATGTTATACTATAAAGCAACAAACAATGGCACATACTTGGATAAATGGACATGTCAAAACCACTGGGATAGAGACAAAATTTCTTTTCAATACCTTATACTTTTCAAGTTAGTGGAAAAGTATGAAGATTAGGAAAGTGTTATATATGTACCAGATGCTACATCAAATGATGCGGAAAAAAAAAAAAAAAAACTACATTTATTTATTTTAGACACTTACGAGATTGCATAATTTTTGAAGCACATTTTACAAAATATTGCTTTATTTTACTTGCAATATGTTCACATACAGTTTTGTCATATGAGAAATTCTTTGCAATGTCATTTTTAGAGAAAATATGCATAAAAAACAAGTGTTCTTCATTCACTTATATCTGAATTTCTGGGATGAGGAGTTATCATTATTTACACTATTTACATGCGTACTTTTGTCCTCATCTTTGTTGCTGTTATCACTTGATCGTCTTCTGCCTGAATGAGGAGTTACCATTATTTACACTATTTACATGCGGACTATTGTCCTCATTTTTATAGTAATTATCATAACGCTTCAATCGTTATGCTCTCTGGCCTTCATCAGGTGTGTGTCAATCCATTAAACCCTCAAGGAATTTTGAACTTAATGCTTTATTTAATCTATAAGAATTGATTGTTCTCATTCTCCTGCCCAGCTCTAAGGATATTTCATCTAGGTCTCAGCTATTGGTTGTCCTGTTTCAACTGAGTTCAAGTATACACTACCTGGCCCAGGGATTGAACTCATAATTTCCATGACACCAAAGTCACAATGAGAGAACAGGCATGATGAGTGAATGTTAAAAATGAAACATGTTGGTTCACATAAATAATGGATTTAAAAGCTTTTTGCTGCTACTTAAATAGTTATGGGAGACTGGTGTTCACCCACACACTCTTTTCAGGTGATGGGAAAGTATACAGGGAGCACTGAATTCATGCCTTTACTAAGAGAAACAAAAAAAAAAAAAAAAAAAAAAAAGAGGTAAATTCCTAGAGTCTTACCAGTGGTTTTACAAAACTGTCGTCCATTTTCATCTATCTCAATCTGAAAGTAAAAAAATCGAATTGAAAAAAAAAAAAAAAAAAATCAATGAAGATCTATAAGCTTTATCACTCCACACAATAGGCATAAAGTGGAGGATCAGTTTTTATTGTTATGAAGTCATGAACTGATCCCCCAAATTAATTACTTTTAGCCATTATCAAGTGGCTATTTTTTTTTTTTTTATTAATAATCCTTCCATAATAATATCAACTATGAACACAGCCACAATGTGTCAGCAGTTTTTAGGAAATAAAGCATTCCTATAACTCTAGATGCATACATAAAACAATCCATACATTCAGTTAAAAGTAAAAATAAAATCAACTTTTATAATGGTTAAAAGTATAGCCGAAAACAATCAGATATACAGAACATTCAGACAATTTCTATATAATTTATGTCCAGAAAAGAAAAAAATTATAACAACACAAGAAAAATTAAATAAAAAATTGAACTGCAGTACCTTGTCAGTTGTTTTTAATGAAACTTGTATATATATGTGTATGTATTTTAATCACCCTAAGCAAGGCAATAATGCCACTAAGACACAAAGGGTTACTGGGAGTAAAAGAGAATAAGACTTTAGAAGGAACTGGAAGCTTACTCCTAAACAGGAAACAAGGGATAAACCTCTACTCCTGTTCAAAAGACCAGGGAGGAGAGTGAACCTATCTCCTCCTATTTATATATAAAAACTACCAGTATTTACAAAGCTTATCTTGATCTTACACAAGGCTAGAAGAGCCAATAATAATCTAATTTTGGTCATCTTTCAATGGTTAATTCTCACTTGTGATAATACAAGAGAAAATCTTTCCTCCAATCTTTTATTCATAATCAGTTTTATTTCAAATAAACAAAATTAATGTGAACACATCACATGAAATCACAATTTTGAAAATATTCTTACATATGTGACATTTATATCAATCACTTTCTACATATTTTCATGATTGGCATTTTCATCATTGTTTTTTTTACCATATTTTAACTGATATGTTATGCAGCCTTGGTCATGGGTAGGTTGTACACTATGTGTTTTTGGAAGGGCACAATTCTTGATGATGTGATTAAAAAGAAAAAAAAACTCATGATAATAAAAAAAAGACAAAGAGATTAAACAACTTCCAAACACTATGAGGTGTAATTTATGCCAGAGAAGCCAGAAAGTTTTCAAAACAACAAACGTGAAGATATGTACAAAACAATCTATGTAGTGGAAATACCTGTGCTTACCTGCTACTAAAAAGGCCAAGGTTGTTTCATCTACAGAAAAAGTGATGGCCTCAGTTTTTTGGGATGCAAAAGGTATTGTGTTTTTATTGACTATCTTTAAAAGGGCCACACCATCAATGGAGAGAGTACTATGGCAACTTCCTGAGGCAGTTACAAAAGGCTATCCAGATGAAACACCCAATAAAACTGACAAAAGGAATTTGTTTCATCAGGACAATGCTCCAGCACACAAGTCCTTGGTTTTGATACCTGTTGCGTGTGACTGTGAACTCGTTGATTACCCTCCCTATTCTTCTGATTTGACCCCATCTCACTGTCATCTGTTTGCCAAAATGTAAAAACACTTGGCTGGGAACCAGTTTCACAGTGATGATGATGTCATATCTATTGTTGATCAATTTTTGACCAACAGGATAAAAGCTTCTACACCAGTGCTGCAATACCAACAGAAGAAGTGTGTTTACCACAAAGGGGTACCATGTTGAAAAATAAACCTCATTTGGTCACATTTCATGAGAGTATCATAGTCAGCTTAAGAACTTCTCTGCTGACCCTCATATAAAAAAAGAAAAAAAAATAACCTCATAAATAATGAAAAGCTCTCCTCGAAAACCATAAGACTTTTTCATCATGCTATTCGTAAAAATTTGCATATGAAATACATCATAAAAAAGAAAAACAAAGAATTAAATAAAAAAGAAACAATTTACTTACTTCAGGGAAATTAAACTGCTTCAACTGACTTTCAAATTCTTGTCTGTATTGCATAATAAATTCTTTCTCCTTGTAGCTAAAAGGCTGGGCAACCAAATGTTCTATTAACTGCAAAAATCTCTGATACTAATTTGAAGAAGAAAAGATTTTAAAAAATGCAATCAATATTATCATACACTCTTGGGTAAAAAAAAAGTTACTTTAAATATTTTTTTTTTTAATAAAAGGCAATGTTATCTGATGCTAACAATGTAAGAAGATTCAAAATTACCAGTAGACTTTTTCTAGAAAATTTTAAAATTAGACAAATTCTTTAATATGATCAGTTTGAGAAGTTAACTTTGCCTTCAACCCATACAAACCTGTCCCCATACATATCTCAATGTTCAACCCGCTACAGATGTTAAATTACTACAAACACATGGTAAACTTACCAAGCCAAATTTACTAATTACCTAAACTATTATGAAATTCATAACTATGATACTTTTCTTCAATTCATTACATGAGACAAAGGTTATAATAAATTTTTAATTACTATTACAGCTTGATTCATATTCTTACTCACTATGCTTAAGTCTCACTAAATACATTGACATTTCTCTACTCTTGACATGTAACCAATTCCCAACTTAGCCTGTTACTACATTCCCAAATAGTTATCTAGTCTTGGAAAACGCAGTAGCCTGCTACAAAAGTATACCAACATTAAGAACCTGGTGACCTCAATTTGATCTCTATAAAATAATAACTATGAAAGCTCAACTGCCAGAAATATAACAAAGTGAATCATAACTTGCCTCAAGATCGGAAATATTTTCCAGCACCTTTTTTTTTAATGTTTCCTTGTCAATCCATGTGCTGCCTTTCAGGTTTCTTGATGGGAAAATAAAGGAAAATTATGATTTTTTTTTTTTTTTATATAATCAATTTTGTTTAACAGGATCCATTGGCTAAAAGCATTTTATTAACAAAAAGCAAAACATAAAATTCAAAACTAATAATAAAGACTAAATATTTTAACATTAAGAAGCTAAAAGCTGAGATAGGAATGCAAAAATGAAAAATATTCAATTTTTCATATAAAAATATCAAATGTATAAAAATTCTTACAGTACTGGAGGATTTCTAAAGACACCGTCTACTTGATAATGTTTGTCTTCTTCTTTCTTCAGTTCTTCAACTTTCCATGCAATATTCTAGAGAAAGGAAAAAAAAAAAATCTAAAACAATGAAAGAATCTAAAGTAATAAAAAAAGTCTTATAATTTCTGTTATTTGGTAATCACATCTCTAGAACACCACCCTTACCCATACTTTATATGGGTGGGGGTCATGATGTTTATATTTCCCTAGAGATGAGGATATACTGTGCATATTTTCCCTAGGAGTGGGGAAGTGCTTACCCAATACTGCACAGAATTAGTGATACATAAATCATAATTACCCAATCAGTCAAATAGTTTTTGATTATCTGAATATTTTTATTGCCTCTTTTTCTTTCATCTGTCTCATTAGAAATTACTTTCTGATTTTCAATTCCCACAGGTGACTTTAATGCCCAGCCTAAAGTATTATGAGAAAATAAGTAGCAACAATAAAGTTGAAAGAAAATCTTGTCGAAAATGTAGCATAAAAATAATTCACCTTAAAAATGAAATAATTTTACACAACTATTAATGGGTAAACAAACAATATTGTATAAATAATCAAAGGAGGGATATAGAGCAACATGAGTGTGCATTTGAATTCATCTAACAGTTAAGATGAACCTGAATAGGAGATGCAAATTCATGCTTCCATAGATTAATTCTGATTTGATTGCTTATTTTATATTCATAGAATATACTGACTTGAGTGCTATAAGGAAATTAAAGAAAAAAAAACATAAGAAAAATGAAGAAAAATTTTAATAATTTGTTGGGCTACAAAATTGTGTTATGGTTTTGAAAATGCACATTTTTGAAAAGTATATATAGTCATCCATATACAAGCCTGTTTCACTGTATCACAGCTCATCAGTGTGGCTAAACATCTGATTGCTCCAGGCCGGGATCGAAACTCAACAGATTTGGCATCAGTCAGAGACTCTACCCCTGAGCTATCGGCATACAGAAAAAGGGAATACTCTAACATATTATATACGTGATGTATACAAATGCCAAATCAGTAGCCAAGAGTGCTCAATTCATAACTGAAGAGCGATAAAAGAAGGGGAAAGAAAATCATGCTAAAGAAAAAGATATTACTCAGCGTAAAGTGGTCAATTGAAAACTAATGTGTTTTTTTGGTATTTTTGTTTTTTTATTTTCACTTTACAGTGAGTATTATCATTTTTTTTTTTTTAATTATAGCCAAAAGAAAAATGATGAAAGAAAAATTAAATTAAGACTTAATCTTTTTCAGGACCAAGTCTGGAAATGTTAAGATGGATTTCAAAAATTCAACAAAGTTTATTCCATTTAGTATATTAGTTATTTTGGTAGATCACTGAAGCTTGAAAAAGCATATTTTGAGGAAAATTTAAAGTTTTGGGTGACTATGCTGATGAGGTTTTGTACATTTTAGAAGAATTCAAACATACAACCTTAAAATATGTTGGTTGATGTATTTTACAACACATCAACCCATGGATTATTTAATGTTGAAATCTGTTTATTTGTCTGTAGGAAAACATTGATTGCCTTTATACTCAATTCTATTGATAAATACTAGTAGATTTTATAGGACAACATTGGTTGTCCATAGCCAAATCTGTAAACATTGATCCAGTAGGTGGCTTCTTTTTGGGGAGGTCTTTCCTATCAACAGGATATGAAGTCAGCATATTTTTGGCTCTGGGCTGCTTAAAATAAGGGATATTAGACAATGGTAAAATATTCCAAGGAAATTTTTAGAGGATTTCTTTATTAGATTATAAAAAAGTGGAAATAGATTTACAGAATTTATTTTTCCAACCATAAAACTTGCAGGAAATGTTATTTTTTTTTTATTTACCAACTTAAAGAATATGTCAAGGAAAAATAACGAAGTTTGACAGAGCTAAAAATAAATCAAAATAGTGGAAAAAACAAGCTATCTACTCCAAACACACCTCCTAATACAATTAAGGAAAATTTTTTAAACTTAATTTAACATTGTGCAAGAACAAGAATGGAGCACTCATGATTGAACAAACTATAGAATAGTAATGTCCTAACAAACCAGCCAATTAATGTCACTTGTATATTTGTTCCTTCTGTGCTGAAGAGGTTGAAAAAGGTAGTTTTAAAATATATCTGAATGTCTACTTATTTTGTCAATGAAAATTTTATTTTTTACTAAACAAAAAATAAAATTCAAAATATGTTCACATTGACGCCAAAATTAAATGCATTTTTCTTTTAGCTGAAAATGAATCTTTGAGAAACCCATAAGTTGTTAGTATTAAATAATTTTAACTTCTTTAAACTTACATGCATCAGGCCATAATAATTTGGCTTAACTGTGTAAAAAAGATAGTGGAAAGGTCGTCCATCTGTTCCAAACTGAGCCACTGAAACAAATAAAAAAAAAAATTAAAAAAAAAATGAACAACAAAAACAAAAAAAAAAAATAAAATAAATAAACAAACAAATAAAAAACCAATAAGAATTGATAATGTTAATTATATATATATATATATATATATATATATATATATATATATATATATATATATATATAGTTTCAAGATATGGTATATTTATGTGCTCAATATGTGCATAAATAAAAAAAGTGGACATTGAAGTCAACATCCAGAGGCAGCAGTCTGTTTCATGCTAAGCACAATCATCAGGCCATGGTGATTGTGTTTATAATGAAATAGGCTATCACCTCTAGTTTTAAGGTCTTTATAGATAAAAAGTGCTCAATATCAGGGATAGAGCATATGTAAATATAAAAGTGAACTTTGAGGTCAACAGTAATTGGCGACAGTCTGTTTCAATCCAGAAGCTTGCATTCAAGCATGAGATAGACTATTGTTGCACAAAGTTAACTTCAGTGTATATGTGCACACACATACAAACCCACACACATATAACCAGTGACATTATCCAAAAAAAGCCAAAGTTCAGACTACAACTAAAGTTTCATGTAATTGTGATCATCAAGCAGCTAGTCATTCTGGTCACCTGACAATCATAGTAGTGTGAAACTTGAGTTGTGGTCTGAATTGTCACTTTTTGATAAGCATTGCTGGGAAGTGTATTTGCTCTGCCTTGTCCATTTTTTACTGCTTTGGTCGGGGTCTATATTTAATTTTTTCTTCTTCTCAGTTTGTGTTTCATTTTTCTTTTTGATTTATTGGCTTTGTTTTTTATTTTCTTTAATCACTTGGCAGGCTTTGTGTTAGTTATACCAATAGTTTAGTTTGTTTTTATATATATATATATGAGAGAGAAAAAATACCTAATGATTGCAATAAGCATCAAACTCCAAGTTGTACTGTTGGCGTGAGGCATTGTGTGTATGTGTGTGTGTGTGTGTATATATATATATATATATATATATATATATATATATATATATATATATATATATATATATATATATATATATATATATATATATGTGTGTGTGTGTGTGGGCAAATGGTTAGAACATTCACTTTCTGGCCATAAATCCTGGGTTCAAATGTTACCATGGACAATTTGTCAGGAAGGAGACTTCTGATGTTATCAGTCTAGGGGAGATGATCACAGCATGTGGCACATTTGTAAAGTGTCTGAAAACCATACCACAAGTTGCAGTATAACCAAAGGTTGGCTCTGTGGATGTTGAAAAAAACACAAATGTACCTTAGAGAGTGTCTTCAGTAGGGATTGGTTAACCTCCCTAATAGACAAGTATCCTCAAATACAAAGGGCCAGCTATTATTATATATAAAATTGGTTATCAAATGTAAAGAAACATTGCTTGGTTGTTAGCTGGCATATTTTTATGATTTTATTTGTAGGTAGAGGTAATTTAATTTTTGCTTTTGTTAAGTGATTTTTTTACTTTTTTTTTTTTATACAGAAATGCTTAAATCTACTAAAAAAAAAAAAAAAAACTAACAAAAGCAAAAATGAAATTACCTCTACCTACACATAAAATCCTAAAAATATGCCAGCTAATCACCAAGCATACATATGGCTTGAGGCATTCAGTTGTCTAGTTGCACTGATGAGCTGTGATACAGCAATTCAGGCCTGTATGCAAAAGACACACACATATATATATATATATATATATATATATATATATACTTGCTTAAAGACTATCAGAAGTTCTTTGTTTTAAGATTATGTTCATTTTTCTTTAGTTTGGATTACTTTTTTTTTGGTTTCCATCAGAATTTGAACATCAATAGTTCAATGTCTTCCAAATGATTTCTGCTTTTCATAAGCCATTATAAAAGTCCTTATCATTGATTAATAACAGCATGTCTATAGATATAAATTGTTTTACAAGTATTGTATTGTCATGCATCAGTGAGAATCATGTCAGGTTTTTCTAAGTATCAGATCTTTACACTTTGGCTTCTGCTGACTGGTTATCCTTTTTCTTTTTCTAATTAAGAACAATTTTAAAATAAAATACCAAAGAAATATTAACAATAAGTCTGATTGTTTATATATCCAGAACAAGTTCCATTTTTTAATTTTCAATAAAAAAAAAGATCAAATCCTCTAACCTTAATTTTTATTTTTAATCATTCTACCTGAAGCAAGGCAAGGCAATAATGCCACTAAGATGCAGGGGGTTACAAGGAGTGAAAGAGAATGAGAATAATTTAGTAGGGGGTGGGGGAGATTGAGGAAATAATAATAAAGGAATAGGATTCAAGAAAACAGAAGATGGCGATTGATGATGCATTTAAATCATTAAATATTTTAAGTGGCAGAGAAGCAAGAAATTGGAAGGGAGTTCCACAGACAAGAAGTGCAAGAAAAGAAACTGTTAGAGTAGAAGTGGTGTTAATATCTAGCTAGTTCAACAGTAAAATGGTGAGACCTAGCTGCCAATCTAGTAGCACATTTAAATTCATGTAGTCAAGGCACCAAGTTGGAAAGCTCATCAGAACAGTTGCCATGAAAATATTTGTAGAAAAGACAGAGGGAAACTACATCACATTGCTGTGAAAGTAACTGAAGTCAAGATGCTTAGGATTGATATACAGCAGGAGCAACAGACCAGATAGGGCAGCAGTATTCAATGCCCATACAAATGGTAGATTTATAAATGTGCACGACAAAAAAAAAAAAATATTTATATATCTCAAACTACTTACTTTTTTTTTTGGGAAAAATTTCATATGGATGCTGCAAAAAGAAAAAAAATTATATAATACTTATAAGGATTGTGGTAGAGTAATAACTATATGGGCCATGCAGAAAAAAATAAGAGTTTAATAAGGAATAATGTTTTCATTGTGAAAAAATATGATGTAATCAATTTTTTATCTCAAGGGAGAATTAGGAGCATAAGTGGAAAAAAAGACATAAATAAAGGAAAGGAAAAGAGGGTAGGGGAAATGAGAAAGATTAAAGGGAGATAGAAAGGGGAAAAGAGATAAAGAAAGGAAAGAAAAAGATGAGTGAAAAGACAAAGAGAAAAAGGGAGAAGGAAAATGTAAAAATGTAAAAAAGACAAAGTTTATTTGAGGTTTCTGTATGAGAGTTGATAAAAATAACTTTACCTTCATCAGTGGACGTGCAGGTTTGGCAAACAGAGCAGATGGTAACAAGTATTCAATGGCTTTCTGAAACAAATAAAGAAAAAGACACTGAATAACTTCATATATTGTTATTTTTGTTTAATTAAGCAATAAACGATTATAGCTTTTAATTAAGCAATAAACGATTATAGCTTTTAATTAAGCAATAAACGATTATAGCTTTTAATTAAGCAATAAACGATTATAGCTTTTAATTAAACAATAAACGATCATAGCTTTTGTCTGATGGGACAATAGCTTAGAGGATTAAAGAGTTGGTTTGTATATTTGGTAACATAGTAATTGGGAGTTCAATTCCTGAGCCAGGCAGTGTTTCAGTGGAAATGGGGTGAGCAATATCTGAGTAGTACTAAAATAAGAATGAGACAAGACACCCACTTGACATGGGCAGCAGAACAAGAACAATCTACCTCCCATAGATTAAATAGAAGGTTCTGTTGAAGTTCTCTGAAGGATAACCAGATCAGTAAGTACCTGGTGAAGGCCAGAGTTCACTAGTTGAAACATTGTGATGACAACATGAAAGATGCGGACAGTGGTCCATGTGTAAATAATATGAATAAAGAATTATAGCTTTATTTGGAGGTGATACAGTTGCAAATTTCCTTTTGCTTTCAGTGGTCAATGTTCAAACTCAAGTAGATCCACACGTTGAGAGGCTTCTCTTGACCGAGAGAAACACTGGTGCTATATAGCTCTCCCAGTCCTACGCTGACAATTGGCTAATACCTGCTCAGTATCGTTCACATGCAAAAAATCAGCTCCACTTACTCAGGTCTTCTCTCAACAGCCCATTATGATAGGGGACGCAACTCCTGGTGCTTACAGCACCACATACAACCAACTCGTTCTTTTATCGGGCCAATCCAATTCTCTGTTACAAGTCTGACGGCCCAAACAATTATGGCATAGTCTGGTGACTGGGAGAGTGGCATATTTTTCAAAGGGTAAAAATGTTTGTGCCTACAAAAAAGTAGGAATCCAAAATTTCAGGTAGTGATTTTCTGAAGAGGCCAGCCCTACAGACTTAGCAAAGATGTGCAAGATTAACTTTCTTACATCCATTTCAAATTATTTGACTCTTGACTAGAAAAAGATTACAATTGTAACATTCAGGGAAGCACTCACAAAGGAGTTTGTTCTACAAAGTAGCAGTACTCAGGAAAAAGCTGAAGGGAACTTTCTTCTTGTATCTGGAACACAAAGGAAATGGGTATGACACAGGATAATGGTTAACGAGCCACTCTGTATAGGAAGTTTGAATTTCACTTGTCATTTTGTACAAGTCCACAAACCAGTATCTGTCTATATTTCTGAGATGAAGTATTATGTACACTATTTACATTATTCGGACTATTGTCCTCATCTTTGTTGCCATATTTATCACAACATTTCAGCCATTGTACGCTCCGGCCTTCTTCAGGTGGTTGGAATGTTGAACTGAACCCTTTATTTCACTCACTGGGGTAGACTGTTCTAGTTCCACATGCCATGTTTAATGGATTTCGGTTATCAGAACTTGGAAAGGGGAATTAACAGGAGATAACTGATAACTGACATCCATTAAACATGGCACGCGGAACTAGAACAGTCTACCCCAGTGAGCGAAATAAAGGGTTCAGTTCGACATTCCAACCACCTGAAGAAGGCTGGAGCATACAACGCCACTCTGGATCTTCCCACCACCTTCCAAGAGTGGAAGGACCACTTATTTTAGGAATTCCAGATTTATAACCTGCTTGACAACTGAGATAGATGAATATTCCCCATTGATATCAAATCTCAACATTTCAGCCTCTGGTCTTCAAATGCTGTATTTGGTCATATGCTGAAAATAGTAAAGAATTCTGTATACCCACTTATTGTATATTCCAATCCCAAGAATACAAAGTGTCTGAAATTTTGAACAGAAATAATCAGGTTAAATTATACAAACTGTTTGAGACTCACATCAATGTCTTCTTGTGAAAAGGATTCCGGATCTGCTCCCATAATATTTGCCAAATGACGACGCCCGATCTCATACTGGGAAATTTCTTCCAACATCATGGCATCTAAAGTTTTAGGAAGAAAACTAGTTAAAGCAGAAAACAATGAGTAAAATTATTTTCAAGACATTTTCCATTTAGGCTGCTAACAAAAATGACCATATTGTACACAACTTAGAAGACTGAATGTCTGACTAATGTTTTCTGTATGGAAATGACTCATTCAACCCTTACAAATTTCGACTGACAGTAATACTAACTTTCCAGTTAATAAATGTTAAATGTTTTTTGTATGAAAACAGTTTATCTCACCATTACCATAAAAGATTGAATGCAAAACAAAAGCTGACAAAAGAACAAACTTCAGATTAAACAATGGCTGTCAAAGACAGGTAAGACAAGGATCTGTTTTTACACAGGATCTATTCAACCTATACAGCATGACAATCCAAAGAGAAATTAGAGTTCCTTTCATGTGCCATGTCCTTTCAGGACGTGGGCAATAATGACTCTCCACAACTTCCTATCTTTCATAGCTCGTTGGTCCTGACCTAGCATCTTAGCTTCAGTCATTTTCCTACTGCTGTAATGTAGCTTTCCTCTGCCTTTTTTTATAAATACTTTTTATGGTAAATGTTCTGATATGAACTTTCCTCTTTGGTATCTAGACTTTATGAATTTAAGTGCAATACTAAAATAGTGGCAAGATTTCATCATTTTACAACAGAAAAGGCTAGACGTAACTGTAAGTTCTATGCTAACAGTTTCTTTCTCACGCGTCTCACTTGTGGAACTCTCTTCCAGCTTCTTGTTTTTCACTAAAGTTTAATCTTCAGAAATTAAATGCAATGTCAATCATTGTCTTCTTAATTCCTGTTCTTATATTGTTCTCACTCTTTAATAATGATCTTCTTATATTCTTTCACCCTTTGCATGTTAGTGGCTTTGCTGCCTTGCTTGGTTAAAGAAAAAAAAAAAAGGAAAAAGTTCTAAGCAACATATGACCCCATACTATCCCTCCCAGTCTCTATTCTATCATTCATTTATACATGCTAATTAGGTAATGTTTCCCTTTGCCCCTTTTGACATCAATATATCTTGTGAGTACCAAAATATCTAAGCCTACTTTTTTCATTATGTGTCCCAGAAATGTCAACTGCCTTTTCCTGATAGTGTATAAATGTATTTTTTATTTCCATTTTCCTTAAAACTTTGTCATTACTCCTATACTCTGTTGATGATATTCTCATCATCCTTCTGGAGATCATTTCTACTGCTTCAAATTTCCTCTTCATCTGTCAGCTTGTTGTCCAGCATTCACTGTCATATAAGAAGACTGATATTACATAACAGCTCAGCACTCTTTTCACTTTTTCCAATGAAATATTCCTCTTTCATCCATAATGGTAATTCCCTGATTAGAAGCTCTACCTGGATTTATTGATCAGCAAACATAATCTTAACAAGGATGTGTGGGTGGTGTAACAGTTATCAGTATGAAAAATAGAACTGGCTAGCTAAGTTCAAATTCCTGCCTAGTCAGCTGTGTTCACTTTTGCACTAATGTTGTAGGAAAAGTCATGAATCCATCTGTTTTCCACCTACCACATCAGTTAGGAGTTATTTAATCTACAATAATCTACTATTTTTACACTTTCATAGTGTTTTGAGTCAGGTTGCAGGGGTCAGCTATTTGCCCATACATAGTCAGGGTGGACCTGGGAACACCAGCAATTAAGCAATGGTTCCACGCTCCTCAAAACCTCCTAATCAAAGGCCTCGCTGTTGGACATAGTTTATCATTCTTATCCAGGACATAGAAGCAGTTTATCATCATACCTAGGACGCAAACATTAGTTTAGAAAAGTCTTTTTAAAAGATGAAATGTGAAAGGACTTCTTTTTTTTTTCTATTTCTTTATTTAATTACCCAATAATTTCAACTACCTTTCAGATAAATTGTAGGGGGCATTTATTCTTTCCTAGAACATTTCACAAAACCTATCAGCTTTCATAAAAAAAAAGAAAAGAAAAAATTGGAATCCAAACTGGAAATTACTCACCATATTTCTTGGCTTTTTCTAAATAAGACACCATAGCTTTGCTTATCCTCTCTGCTTTTGGCTGTGGTTTCTTTGCTGTGTCAACTAATTTTGAGACTGAGGAGATATCACTGGGTATTGTGGACTGATGCTGTAAGAAATGAAAACATTTTAAAACAAAGCTTAATCGGCAGCTGATTTAAATGAAAATTCTACACACTTATTCTTACATTGCACACCACAGTGTTGGGCAAAGATTTGTTTAACTATGAAATAGTTAATAAAGATAATTTTATCAGATAAACATTCTTTTCAGCCTAGGGGAAAATTGTGGAATCAGATAAACTATAACATTTTGAAAACTGTCCAAGATTTAAAAAAAAAAAAAAAATCCTACTATGAATTTTTGAGGAAATATGTCTAAAAGTATAAAATAATATATAAAATGCAATGTTCCCTTTTTCTCAACTCTGGATTTTCTTCAAGCAACTTGATTGCAAAATTGGATTTATTTACAGAAATATTTTCCTTAAAATATATTATTTTATAACAAACTTACTTGAAAATGTTCTTACTTAAAAGCCACTATTTCATGACAAACTCATTTGAATCTATTTTGTTACATGTATTAGATCATTTTTTTAAAAATAATCAGAAGTTACATATCAATGCGAATTTTAAGTGAAATATATGTATGATCAATGTATGAGCAATATGTATGGTCAATTTAAATAGGGGCCTGTGTCAAAATCTTTAAGTAATGAAGGGTTGTAACAATTTATAGCTTCTTAGATATTCAAAATTTATATTATCATAATATTTTATATCATGATTTACTTGATGTAAATATAATTACAGTTTATATTATTAATGTTGGGTAACTAAATAAATAAATGGATTAAATAAATCAATCAATGCGTTACATAATATCTTATATTTTTTAATATCTTTTTCTATAATTTCATGTATATCAAGCTTTCCTAATATTTCAAAAAGTTCTTCATGCCATACTTTAAAGAATGCCTTTGTTTAATCAATGGGGATGCTGAAGGGTTGTAATAGCATCTCAGTATGCAAAATAAGAGAGCCAAGTTCAAATCTCAGTTGAATTCATTACAATTACATTCACTAATACACAAACACTCTTCTTGGGAAAGGTACTATAAATCCGTCTCCTCCTGCAGCTATAGGTTAAAAAATAGTAGGACTGAAAAAATCATTATTAATCTAAAAAACAAAAAATTTTAATGCAATATTTACTCGCAATAAAAGAAATAAATTATTATTCTTACAATCTGAAATATGTTTTTTGGCTTGAAATTACCATCAAGGAATTGATACATCATAAAAAACAAACTAATTATTTTTAATCAATTAAATAATGTCTTAGTATACATTTTTTATTTTGGGATTCAGAGCAGATTTCCAGTAACTAGGAGTCCTGTTTTAAAAAAAAAAAAAAAAAAAAAATTGAGGATTTCTCCAAGGAGTTCTGCCTCTTAAGGGGTACAAAAATTTCTTGAAATTTCATAAAATTATTTAAATGGGGGTGAACAGATCTTAAAAAAAATTTTTTTACAAAGATTTTCTAAAAGAGAAACATTTCTAAAATAATTTAATTTGTGAATAAGTCCTGAAAGTTTCATTAAAATCCGACAATTAATTTCTAAATCAATGTGCTTTGCAGTGCAAAAAGACACTAAAATGTCCTAATCTTTGGTCCCCAGCTGACACAAGAAAAAAGATTTTTACCAAAATGTTCTGTAAAAAGAGGATAAAAATAAATAATCAAACAATCGGTCTTTCCTCTTCTTAATAAAACAACGATTTTGATTTTTATAAAATTTGGGACATTTTTTTTTCATCTTGGTATGCTTATCTTTCGAATCTGTGAAGTACCAACTTGTTTTAGTTTTAGAATTTAAAAATTCTATTTTCTTATTTTCAGAATTATAGAAATTCTAATATAGAGTTTTAGTTTTAGAAGTTAGAAACAAATTTTAGAAACTCAATGTAATTGAAATTACGTGATCACAAATGTTAAATGAATTATACATTCAGGTGCTTTAACAGGAAAATATTGCATTTCACACACATGACTTTCCAAATCCAAAGGACCCTTCAGAATATGAGGCTAGTTAAAAAAAAGAAGGTATTACATTATTATAAATCAATGTTTTGTTTGGCATGCAGAAATTGTTTGAAATGCTAAAAAAATAACAATAATAGTAACACATTTTATTAATTTTAAATTTTTAATAAACGAAAAACAGAGACCTTGTTAAAAACAAGTTACGAGAGAAAAGGAAAAAATTACAACCAGAAAAGTTAAATTCAACTAGATTAAAACCTAAATTTAAAAGAAACTGTGAAATAAGTAAAGATGGTTGGATAAAAAAACAATTTTTCAAAATAAGTTTTACTTTTAAGTTTTAATCTTAAAATAAACACGAAGAAAACAACTGAAAAAGAAATCATTGTTTATAAAAGAAAAGAAACAGTCACATCTCGATTTACCGTACGATTCAACTATAATAATACAATATATGGTTAAGAAAAGTATAATTTACTTACCCTTATACATCCTAATATGGAAATTCGAGATTGGGAATAAAACACACGGGAACATCGACCCCCAATAAAACTCAAAGTCAAATTCAACGCCATTATTACCAGGAAAGATATACCGGTGTCAACTGAACTAGTGTCTCCCTAAAATAATTATCCAACTAAAACAGCATATTTTTTAAACAATATGCAAAAAACTAAAAAAGATAAAAAATATTACAATAAAGAAAATCAAAATAGTTAAGAAACATATTTTATTGAGTTTAGATCTGCCAAGTTAATGAATTCCTTAATGGGGAGATTCCTTCGTTCGTGTCACCTATCGAGGATACCTATTTTTAATTTATTTATTTTATTTTATTTATTTATTTATTGCTTCAAAATCATCATGGGTTGCCCAAGACGATCTTTCTCACAATTATTTTCCGTATTTTTTTCTTTTTTTTTAATAAAAAAAAAATTCTGGAGATTAACGCGATGAGGAGATGATATATAACAAAAACCCAAAATGTGTGAGCCTCTCGTCACGTCAAAATGCGAGAGATTTGATTTGGTAATGATGTTCATCATTCTTACTTAATCTTCTTGTAACTTAATCTTAATCTTTTTCTTTTCCGTGGCTATTTTATATTTTGAATTTCAACAACAAATCAATTAAAGAAATTGATTAGGCAATTCTTAAGGAGACTTGTTCAAGCACAAGATCGTGCATTTAAGATCTGAAAAATTTCTTTATGTAGGTGTCTTATTCGAATACGATCGCTTTGAAAAAAAAAGAAAACTGAAAGATAGACCATTCATACAATCTGTATATACAACTCAATAACTACACTATTTACATTATTTGGACTATTGTCCTAATCTTTGTCGCCATAGTTATTACAACGTTTCAGCCGTTGTACGCTCCGGCCTTCTTCAGGTGGTTGGAATATCGAATTGAACTCTTTATTTCGCTCACTGGGATAGACTGTTCTAGTTCCACGTGCCATGTCTAATGCATGTCAGTTATCAGTTATCTCCTGTTAATTAATTAACCAGGTATTGAACTCACACGTACACCCATTGGGTTTTGTCACTGGAACGCCTTTTTATCCACTGTGCCATGTGTCCTTGAGGACATTTATGTATGAATTTCTTGTTAACTATTTTTTTACCAGAGGTAATATTGCAAATTTTGTTGTTGTTCTTTGCTCTAGAGAATATCACTGGAAAATAGGTAAGCTTAAGAAATCAGTACATATGCTAAGCCACAAACATCTCCTAATCCGGCCAAGCAGAAAAATGAATACAATATGGGAATCAGTAATACGGAGAGTTACGAACATTTTTCATCAACCAGATAGGGAAATTACTTAGCTTAGATTACTTTATCGAACTTCATAATGTAACACTTTTTTCCCCTATGAGTTAAAAAAAATAAATCATTCAACCTCTTTGAAAAATAAGAATTTATAAAAGAAAAATTAATAATTGAAATAAAAACTTTCGGAGCTGCCTCCTTTTGAAATGAGAAAAAAAAATAACTCACAAAAATAAAATACAATACATAATTTATTTAACCTAATGAAAAACTTCATAGATATTTGTATTACTCTACATTGGTTTTCAAAAGTCTGTTTGTACTTTTAAAAAGATTTGGTTACAAAATGAATGTGCGCTAAATATGAAGCTACGTTAAGTTTACGAATACCTTCAGTTTGATTTTTCATAGCAGTTGAATGCATTTCTTTTTTCTTTTTTTTTATCTATGGAAAAAAATGTAGTCAGAATGAGTTACATAAAGCAGTCAAAGAGAAGTAATTCAGTATTTCGTATTGAAACACGATACGTGCGCTAAAATAGAACTCATTTTTCATAAACCTTCGAAAAAAATTCTTTGTAAGGGAGACAATTTGAATAAATTATCTCCCTTTGACCGAGTAAATTTCTTCCTAACCTTTATTTTTATTACTGTCAAATATAAAACTACGTAATAAATTTAACAGAAAAATAATTTCTCAAGAAATGAGTAGATTGTGAATCAAATAAAAATGAGATATAATACGTTCTATTTTTATTCCACAATTATTGGAACAATAATTAGTAAAATTAGTAATTAGTAAAAAAAAATATTTCAATATCAAATCAGAACATATTGAAAATTTGTCTTGAAACCTTACAAAAATTATCCCATAATTTTTTTTTTTTTTTTTTTGGGAGATCTGGTGCTTGCATATTTTAATAAAACACGGGGTGGGGATTTGACGGTGGGTTAAAAATACTTTTAATTTTTCATTGCGATTTTGAAATTCTTACAGTTACTAATGGCTAAAGAGATTTTTTTTATCATTAAATAGAGAAAAATTTTAAGAATCGAAAAATGTCTGATACCATTTCGCTTCAAAATCATTTTTAAAAGAATTAGTTTTGTATTTATTATTATAATAAATATTTCAATTATTTTTTGTATGGAAGTTCAAAAAGGAAATAATTCTTAATTAACTGCTTTGGGAAAGTAAGATGATATTAATCTAATATTAATTTAGTATCTATAATTTTTAATCAGTTTGTCAGTTTTGTGCTTTGTAAATCAATCGATACCGTTGTATTTCTTTCGCGCATCTTTTTTTTTCTTGCTTATCTAGTAAATATTCATCATTTTTAATCTTTTAAAAAATCTGGCGATTGCATTTTCAATGTTTTATTGTTTTGTTTTGTTTTGTTTTCTTTTCTTTTTTGGTTGATTTTTGTTTTGTTCTGTTTTTTGTACGTGTCTATAATTTGGTATGACAATAATTATGTCGGAAAGAAATCAAAGTGAAATCAAAGATATTTAAGCGAGTTTTTTCGTAATTGAATCAGCCCACAGCTTATTTTCGTGTTTTTTGCAACTAAATTTTTCTTAGCGTGTATGAGTGTTAAAGTCCTTACAGTCATTATTTGTAATTATTTGTTAAAACGAAAAGTAATAAATGTGATTTCTTTGCCTGCATGTGTGATAAAGAAGTAAGTAATGAAGGCGCATACTTGAACTTAACCAATAATCCATGATCAGACCGCAAATGTTCTAGGGCTTTAAAAATATTATTCAGTCTGTTCTTAATGAATTGATTCTTAGTTTTAATGTTACTATACAACAACCATTATACCACGACGAAGTGGCCTTTCAGCGAAATGCGAATGTCAGTGTGTCACACTTCTTCTATCAAAGGGATACAACTCTCTAATTTTCAATAGCTCATGTTTCAGAAATTTTGATTGCGATTGTTTTTGCGACGAATTTTTTGTACGATAAAAATTTTTATAACTTGGAAAAAATTAGGGAATAATCGAAATTATTTGCGAAATCTATCGAAAAAAAAAATAATTTTTCGCACGGAAAAACTTACGCTCATCAAATTGTCTTTAAATTAATTGGTGGCAGAAAAATTATCATTGAACTTTTCAAAAGCAACTAATTCATTGCGTTGAAATAAATTATCCTTCTTTATCCCCAATTTTTGTTAACTATTGTAAAGTTATTAAGACCCTTGTGATTACAAAAAATAAGCTATATAATAGTAATAACAATAATAGCAATAATGTAAATAACTCTGAAAAGATGGGATTTTGTTTCTGCGACAAACTGAAGTTTATTGCATCTTTCTTTGAGGGGAAAATATTAAAATTAAATTTGAGAAAAACTACTACAATGTTTTACAAGTTCCCGTTCTAGCCTCTTTTCTGATCTTTGCCTCACCTTCCACCCCTGCTTTCAAATCCGGCCCCCAAAGTCGTGATCTTTATCAGAGATAAGAATATATTTTCTGAAGAACGAGAGAGTTGGAAAATATAAAAAGGAATTTGACCGTCCCTGCTCTGACCATTATGCCATAAAGTATTGAGGGTGGGGGTAACATTCATAACTTATCGGGTCCTTGTTTCCAGAAACAAGCTCCCAAAGCTTTGATTCTTATAAAAGATAAGAATATATTTTCTGACGAACGAGAGAGACGGGAAAGTGTATAGCAATTTTGGAGGGAAAAGTTCCTGGTAATTTTGGGTCTTCTAATTGAACATTGTCTGTGATAACATCAGGTCGGTGACAGTAACATTAGTCATCTTCGGAAACTGTTTCAAGAAATCTACATGTTGGGCTCTAAAGACAGAACGTTTGCCCCTTCTAAAACTAGAGATCTACTTCCTAGGAACGTAAAATTTCTGTCCTTGGCCTACGAACTCACTCAACTACAAAATACAGATTTTACGACGAGTTTTTTCATCAACAAGAGCACTGAAGAAATTTATGTGAATGCTAACCCTTTAAGAACAATTTACTTACTTAAAGAATATGTATAATTTTTAATTAGTTGTCATTAGATCCATTTTTGTGACCGTCTTTTAAACCCACCAGCAGACTGCTGAAAAACACACACACAAATGCTTACATACATACATACATACATACATACTACTACTACTACTAATAATAATAATAATAATAATAATTCTCAATATGAAGATCTCTCATACGAAAATGCATACTGAACCCTGAAATCTTGTGCATTAACTGCGAGATTTTCCAAGACACCTCATTTTCTCCATCTTTGATTAATTAATGAACTAATTAATTTTTGTCTAGCTCTCATTATTGCCCTTTTTCTTGAATTGTGGTGATAAAATCAGCGAAAATATATAAATCTGCTATTTTACATGGACTTGAAGTTATATATGCGAAAAATGATGAAAATTTAGAATCTTCTAAACACAGTCAAGAAGTTAAGTGACGATACAGATATGCCGTTCGCCTTAGACAAATATGCGAAAACCTCATTTAGGTAAGATACGCTTGTTTACGAACAATGCTATTATGTTTGATATAAATAGTGCAATAAAAGAGCTAGACCAGAACGAGGCTTACAGATACCTAGGAATCCGGGAGGTTGATGTCATAAAGCGTCTGGCAAACAAAGACAAATTCTATAGAAGAATGAAAGCAATGCTTCATGCTAAATTCAATACCAGTGATCGGTTTATGGTTATAAATTCGCTATCAATTGTTACTTACTGCTTAATATTATCGACTGGATGAAATAAAGAAAATGGTTTCCAAGATAAAATTAATACATTGCACCATCAGA